TTTGCACCCCAGATCTATGGCTGAAATAAATTAATGTGCCCAGCATCAGCTACCACAATGTATGATGATCCAGCCTAGCCCCTTCTCATTTCTTCCCTGCATGTATGATGATAATGAGGGATGTTTTATTTATTCATGTAACCTAAAGACACAAATTCCAAAGGGTCTTAGCATATGTAGATAAAACATCTAAGAATCTCTGAGTTAAGGAGACTTGCTAACTTGGTGTGAAACAGTAAGAGTTTGCTCTAGTGGTCGTCTTTCAACAGTCTAACTTAAAGCTGTAGTGCAAATTCAGAAGTGTGAGACAGGTACTAATAACCAATGTTTCCTCATCCCCATTTCAAAGCAGCTCTAGTGATGGTAGGAAGCCAGCCTTGGGCTATATTTGTAGTGCTTCCCATTTCACTGTGGGTTGTCAGGAGGTAGGGTAGCTGTCTTTAGGTGTTCAAGGGAACATAGAAGGGGCTACATTCCTGGTTGTTACAGAGGGATGCATATCAAAGACCTCTTGAATATCTCCACAACCCAGGAAGGGATTAGGAATGTGTGAAGGTCTCCACTGCTTCCAGAGATATGGGGAAGAGAGGGATGGGCTGGGATTATATCTGTACTCATCATGAATTAGCCTTCGTCCATTCCTTTGGATGCCTGAACAGGGCTGGTGAGCTGAAACCTAACCCCAACTATCTGGGCTCTTGAGATCTACGGAACATTGTTGGTGGTCTAGGATGGTGCCCTTCCTAGAGAATAATCAAAGTCTTTACTGAGCATGAGTGTGTGATTTGAGGACTGACATCAGCTGCATAAGTGGATTCTGCAGGGGCAGAATTATTTTTCTTCTCAGCATATAGTGATGAACCGGGTATTGGTAGAGGGCCACTGACCATTCTGGTTGGGGTGAAAAGAGTTGCTGTCCAACCCATCTGGAAGTTGCCAGGTTGGAGTAGGCTGATACAGAAAATGAGAAGAAGGGAATCTGTATAAACAGTTTCTTCAACAACACTTATATTAAAAAATCAATTGCTGTGGCAGAATTAAGGGCAGTACATCTGTTTTAAGCAAACTTCCCTGTTTTCACTTTCCTTCTCAGTCTGACTAGAATCCTGAAGGATTTTAGTCCTTTAAGTCAGTGGTTCTTAACGTGGGCAATAATGCCCCCCAGGGGGCGATTTCATTTTTCAGGGGGGCAGTAGAATGAAAAGGGGTGGGGTGGCGGCAAAAGAACTGAAGGGGGGTGGTAGGGGGACGCTGGAGCGAGCCAAACCTGTAAAGGCGACTGCAGCCGCAGTGCTGGCAGTAGATCCGGTGCTGCTGCTACCGCCAGATGATCCAGCTCTTTCTACCTGCCACGTCTCTCCTTTAGGGGAGCACTGAGTGTGGATCGGGTGGAAGGAAAGGGGCTCTTGGGTCCTCATCCTCGCCCCGTGAAGTGCTGCCTTGCACCCGGGTGGGGAGGGAGACAAGGTCGGTCGGTAGGTCGGTCGGTCGGTTGGTCGGTCGGTAGGTAGGTAAGATATCACCTCAGGGAGGGGGGGCGATGATAACTTCCTCAATGGCTCAAGGGGGCGTTTCTTTCAAAAAGGTTAAGAACCACTGCTTTAAGTCAAGCCCTAATGAATTCTTCGGCCAAAAACCTGCTTCCAAAGCAAAGAGCCAGCTCTTACAAAGTGGGAATTCTGGCGAATACTCTGATGGGAGAGCTTGTTGCTTTTCATCTTGTAATGTGTCCTCAGGACCAAACTGGTTGCTAGACCCTTTAAAAAAGATTAAATAGATGTTTAGCAGCTGCAGCTGCATGGAGACATGTTCAACAATGGACTCAAGGGGTAGAGATTTTTGGTCCCATCTCTTAAGTATGAAGAGGAAGGATGTATCTCAAAGAGAGAGAGAGAGAGAGAGAGAGAGAGAACGAACACTCGCTTGGGATCTCTTGCTCTGTGGCTGAGGGAAGGCTCTTCAGTTTTTCCTTTTGTGGTTTTACCGCTCTAGTGAAGGAACTCTTCATTTGGAAAGCCAGTGGAGACATCCCATGTCCTCAGAAAGTTTTTCAGTAAGTATAGATCTGATTTGGGGAGTGGTGGCAGGATGAGGCAGTCAGGGCCAAAAGTGGAAATACTTGAGAATGAAGCTAGAGTAAGGAGCCTTATCCTCGTAGGGACAAATAAGATCCCAATGTAAAAGCACCACCACATTCATAGTGCAGCAGCTCTGTCATACTCCCCAAGTCAGGAGGTGCAGGCTGACACATTTCTTCTCCCTTCTGGTTCTTCATAAGGTGAGTTAAATGCCTGTGCCCAACCCAGGACTGGCACATTTCTTGGGTGTTTCAAATGGACAAAGGATACTGGATCCATCAGCTCCATGACTAAACTCCCATTGTTCCTACACATACACGCACATTTGAACACACAAAAAACCAACATGCATTCTTGTGTGCGCATGCACATACCACACACATATCCCCCACAGAGAGAGAGAGAGAGAGAGAGAGACAGACAGACAGACAGACAGACAGACAGACAGACAGACAGACAGACTTCGATTCTTGTGTTCTTAGGATAACTGGGAACTTTCTTCATGGTGTCCAAGACACAAGCTGTGTCCGTGTTCATTCTGCTTAAGCTGGTACACAAGCCACACAGAGCTGCTGCAGAAGAAGAGATGTTTTCCAGCCAGGAGTCCCCACACTCATTTTATTTCACTCCATAAAAGGGTAGCTTCTGGCTCCAGAGCTTTGACCTTCCTTTCTTAAAAATGAAGGCAGACAATTGAATGTACTGTGGCTGCCTTTCAACACAAATGCTTGGTTTGGAGGTAGGAGAGAAAAGGAATAATAACTCTGGAGGAGAGCACCAGGCAAAGCTTCATTAGGCATTGACCACTTGCTCTCTTTGTCTGCTTCCCTTCTTGAAAAGAAAATGACTTGTGCCTTTTTGCAAAGGCACCTGATAACTCTCTCCTGCCACCTTTCTGCTACAGTTGCATCCCTGTACACCTTGGATTCTCTGTGAGAAAGGACCCACCTTGGGTTACTTCTGCTGTGCAGGTATATGGTGCCTGTGTCACTTCAGCTTCTGAGCCCGGCAGGAGCAGTGCATGAGCCCAAAGGGTTTGTACCTTCCAGTTTGTTGTTGTAACCCTATCACAGTAACAGCATGTAAAACACTTATTTCCCCCCTTTCTCCTCCTCCTCTTCTGATCACCCGTCCGTCCCCCTCCTTTAACAAGAGTCTTTCTCCATTTTCTTTATTGGGAAGTGTCAACAGATTAGTGGAGAATCCCTCTGCGCAGGCAAAAATCTGCCACAAAAGGCATTAGGCTTTCAGCTATTGGATTACCACGTGGCCACCTGTCAACTGGCTCGGTAAATGTATCTGCCTTTGAACTGGTTCTTACATTAGAAGTCTGAGAGGCGATGTTTCTCAGGAAACGTGTGTTGCTAAATGAGTGGTTCAGCTTCCTGTGCTCAATGTTTGGGGGGAGACTTGTGGGGATTAGAGCTGTTTGAACAAGGCACTAATGCAATCAAGTCTTAAATGGTTAATGGGCAAGGGTGGCCAATCCAATTGCAGACACAGTACATTGCTTCACTTACACAAGGCATCTTGTGGAAGAAATATGAAAAGCATATTTTAGCCTCTCATTCCTCTTGATTTGAGATGGTTCTAACAAATGAAGTTGATTGCTATCGGGAAGGGTAGAAAGAACAAGGATTAGGCCATGTGGTCCCCAAGACTATGTGCATGCAAGAGTGGGTGATATCTTTTATTGGGCCACTTAACAAGTAGCAAGCTTTCATGGATGAAACCCACTTCCTCAAGCTAAGAACAACTCCTTCATGGACAGTGCATAAAAATTGTAGACAAAAGTTGATGGTATGTATCTGTGAGAATAGTCTATTAGAGACAATCAAGGTCTTCCTGAGGCTAGTTCTCAAGGAGGTACCGTATGTGGAAGGGTGTGTATTGTGCTCATGAGCCCCTTCAAGACACATACGTTGTTGGTGTTCATGTGTTCAGTTAGAAAAAATATCTGCAATTATCATCTCTAGAGTAGACCCTTGGTTTAGAGGGTGGGGTATAAATCAAACAAACAAACAAACAAACAAACAAACAAACAAATAAACAAACAAATAAATAAATAAATAAATAAATAAGAACAGCAGTGTCTCACTTGACCTAGCCTTCCCTGACAGGACATTTTGGCCTACCACTCTGCCAGCTCCAGTTAGCCTGGCAGTGGCAAAGTACAGTGGGAGTTGTCGTCCTAAACCTAAATAGGTTTCCTCTTGCCCTGAAGTGGCTCCCTTTGGAATGAACTGTACATTTCAGTTGCAAAACGTCAGCAAGCTTCATTTGTAGTTGTATTTAGTATTAAGCAATTAAAGTATTTTATTAGCAAATTGTCTCAACTTGGCTTCGTAAAAAATTGAAAATAGAAGTTATTGCTTTGATATGGGATAGATAGCATGTCATTTCTTGATGTGGAAAAATTGAGAGTGAACTGGCTGGAGATGGATGCTTTGTATGATTTGAAATGACAAAGGAGTGGAAAGACCTGTGAAGACTCCACCCTCTTGATATAAGCTCCAGACTTTAAAAATCTACCAAGTCTATAGCGTTGTAATTTTCATTGAAACACCCCACTGTTGCAACCACAATCCAGGCTTGTACACCTTATCTCTCTCCACCACCTGATTAGCATCTGTCTCTGCCTGTTCCTCTTAGTTCTTCCACAAATTAATCAGATCCCCACCTATCTGATGTAACAAGTTAATGCAAGCTATCCTAGCAAGTTTTTACCATTATGAAACATACCTGTGTGTATATTTGGGCCCTTTTAGTTTCTTGTGTGCTTAGTCAGAAGTGATGCTCTATTGCTTGTTGGCTGAGTAAGTTGTCTTGTATTATCAGTACCAAGAATGGTAAACCTGCAATTAATACCCTTCTGTTTTTCTAATCAACCTGTTTCTTCTCTCTCTCTCTCTCTTTGGGCAGAGAATTGATGCCAAGAACTCTTGATGGGCAGATCACTATGGAGAAAACTCCCAGCTACTTTGTCACCAAGGAGGCGCCGGCTCGTATCTCCGCCATGTCGAAGGACACCAAGCTCATTGTGGTGGTGAGAGACCCAGTCACCAGAGCCATTTCGGACTACACCCAAACTCTGTCCAAGAAGCCAGACATCCCCACCTTTGAGAGCCTGACCTTCAAAAACAGGACTACGGGCCTAATCGATACCTCCTGGAGTGCCATCCAGATTGGCATCTACGCCAAGCACCTGGAGAACTGGCTCCTCTATTTCCCCATTGGGCAGATCCTCTTTGTCAGCGGAGAGAGGCTCATCAGCGATCCCGCCGGGGAGCTGGGCCGAGTCCAGGACTTTCTGGGACTCAAGCGGATCATCACCGACAAACATTTCTACTTCAACAAGACCAAGGGCTTCCCGTGCCTGAAGAAGGCGGAAGGGAGCAGCAAGCCCCACTGCCTGGGCAAAACAAAAGGGCGGACCCACCCCAGTATAGACCAGAAGGTGGTGCAGCGGCTGCGCGAGTTCTACAGGCCCTTCAACATGAAGTTCTACCAGATGACTGGGCATGACTTTGGCTGGGATTGATGGTTGATATGGAAGCACTTGCCAGAGTTAACCCAGCCATTCAGCTTACTTCTCCCTATATCTGTAGATAGGTCTATATGTAAAATGTACAGAAATCTATTTTATAATAATTTATTTTTAATTCCTAAGCAATTAATTCACTAAGCTGCCTAACCACACTGTAGCCCATAGCTGTATTTTTATTTTTAAAACATTCCACAGTGTTGATTATTGCTATACTCATACTGTTTTGTTTCCTGGTTCAGTTTGTGCTGGAAAGTGCTTCCGGGTAATTTCTCAAATGAATTTTTTTTTAATCATAAAGGAGGAAAAAGGCAGGTGAATATGGAATAATGAGAAAAGCACAATATATATATATATATTTCCTTTCCAATACGGGTACTAGACATGTTGAAACGCTTCTGTGCAGGGCCCTTCCAGTAGCATCTTCTGTCTCTTCTTAGGCCAAATCCACTTGCAATTGAGTTCTTTGTTGCAAAGGGCTTTGTGGAACTCAAGCCTTGAGGCCTAGCTGAAACAGCTGCCTTTACCGGTGGGTCTGGCACACACTGCAGAAGAGACGCCATTCTCCAGCCATATCGCTGCTGCCACAGCCACCAATGCCTGTTTGCAGAGATGTCTGCTTTCCTGTACTGAGCTCTCTCTTCCTGTTGAGCAGGGACCCACCTGTAGCCTTCTAGGTGGTTTCGGGCAGCCACTCCTTCAACTCTTGCCATACCATACAATGACGAGGGATGATGGAAGTTGTCGCTGAACAACATCCGGAAAGCTGTACGTTGCCATCCCTGTTACAGAGTCTTTGCTACAGTATGTGGGTTTATTGCCTGAATGTCTATGATTTCCTCTTATCTCTTCTCCTTTTAAAGCGGATTTCCTGGGCTGAGAACTATGCATATTTTATCCAGCTTTAACTATTTCCTGCTGAAAAAAATGTGAAGAGATTAATTGGGACAGTTATAATGACACACACATTTAGCTCTCATCGTTTTGAGCTTGATTTTCAGATTACGCTCTTGGGAGAAAACAGTGCAGTCTGAATTTGTGTAGTGAACCCTTCTGCTCCCTGCAACTCCCACGATCACGGATAACCACTCACGCACAGGGCACCTTGCCACATGGAGCATCCTTTTGTCTCAAATTTAAAGCCCTCAAGCACTGTGTTCTGAACTGGCTATTGGTGCAGAGATGAGAGGAGTTTACTCATCGCATGGTACAGATCAGGTGTGTTTATATATATTTTGTGTGTAAATCCCCTTGATGGGACCCCCTGCAATGTCCAGATATTGTTGCCTGTCTGAACCTCACCAAGGAATTCCACAGACCCTCCAGAAGATGACCAAGCACTGTCCTAGAGCGCATGGAATGCAACATTGCCTCGAAGTCTGGCATGCCAAACTGGACAACCTCAGGTGCATTGTCCCCAATGGAGATACTTCCATATCTTGTTAATCCTGGGGGAGCTGCAGCAGCACAGTTCCCATGCCATTATGCATCAAAACTTCGGACGCCATCTGTAAAAGAGGCATGGCAAGTGAAAACATGCATGTGTATCAATAGGTGTGTGTACACACACACACACATGCATTTACAGAATCAGCCCCAAAGGTTGTAGGCTTTCCTGTAACTATCAGCCTCTGCTTCAACCATCCTTGGGATGATTGCCAGATCAGTTCCCTGTAAAACAAGGCTCTGAGCAAAGAGCAGTTTGAACCACACTTTCTCCAACAGACTCATGTGCAACATGTGAAATTAAGCCTCTTTTCTTTCTTATCCCCACCCCCCACCCCCTTTGACACTCTGACCTACTTATTTAATGACCGTGTTGCTTTCTGGCTTTATCAAACCATGCCACGTCCTTGAGAAGGGTGTGTTGATTTTCCATTTCAGCCTTTTTGTTTTAATGCCCTCCCCACCAACTTCTGCCCCGCTCAGAATTCCCGAGAAGCTTAATTGCTTGTTGGACTGCAGAATTTGGTGCTGGGACGTGTGCATTTGCTCTGCACAGGTTTCGTTTCTGATGCCTTCCTCAGCTGCACAAATCAGGACTGCGAAATAGTTCCTGTATCTACAGACCCTGTGATAAGACGGTTGAGTTCAATGATGCTCTTAATTCAGTGTTAAACATTTTAAGCGAACTCTGCCTCAGCAGCCCCATACAGTGGAAATGTTGGGAAACTGGTTAATTTAAAAGGCCTTACCTAAACATAATGATAGCCATGATGAGTACCATGTCCTTTGGCACTGGGACTGCTAACCCTAAGCCTCAGTGCAATGTTATCACTGTTTTTGTTTGATTTACAAGAAGGTACACAATCAGAACTCAATAGTGTGGTTAGATTTTTTTTTTCATATCGTTCGTAACATTAATTTATGGCTGAGTTCCATTCAGCAGTGCAGTATGTCCAGATATTAGCAATATTTTTTTGTGGTACACCTTAGAATAGTATACATGTAAAGGAAAACAAATGGCAAGCAAAAACTGTAAATTAAGTATTTTGTGGTATGTACAACACAAATTAATTTTACACAGAGGTTTCTAGGAAAAATGGGATTCTGATACATACTATTTCTTTGAAGAAATAAAATATATTTTACCAAATTGTCGAGCTTGCCTCCCCTTCCTTTTCGGTGTGTGGGCAAACAAAGGGTGTCAACTTCAATGACTCAGTCTGTTGTCTAATTCATGTACTATACCAAAACCATGGTATTAGGGTGGCCATGTGTCCTATTTTACAAAGGAGTTTGGTTGAAAAGATGAACCATCAGAAAGGAAAGCAGGCCAAATGAGAACTAAGCTAGTACGCTGGGTAAATGAAGGGCATCTGGTAACAAATTTTCCTTTTTCAGGATCAGAGTGCTGTACTGTATATTTAAATATGTAGAAAGACCCGATAGTTTGGGTTGCGTTATTATAGTACAGTTGGGTTGGGAAGAGTGCTGCTTATATATTGCCCCATGGCACTTAAAACACTCCCTAGATTGTTTACAATTTAAGTATGCAGGCTTCACATCCCCCACCCCCCACTGAGTGAGCTGGGTACTCAATTTACCAAGCTCAGAAGGATGGAAGGCTGAATCAACCTTGAGCTGGCTACCCAAATTCCTTGGGATCGAACTCAGGCTGTGAGCAGAATTTTTGACTGCAATACTGCAGTTTGACCGCTGCGCCATGAGGCTTCAGACACAGTTCTAAAACTATCAAGAGGAATATCCTATTGAGTGCCTTTCTGATAAGATGTTTGGTCAATAGTTTCTCCACATTTTAGTATTTGTTTCAGGTTCCTTTCTAATGAGGAACTGTAACCCGCACAAGCGAAAAGCTTGGGTTCTTCTTCATGGCCTCTGTGAATGCACACAATTGGGTTGTTCTGTGCCTGCGCTGAACCTCTCAGAAGTTTCTAGAGCTTAAAGACACATGATTAGTGGGACGTTCCCTCATGGAGCACATGCTCTGCCCATCACTGAACCCCTCGGTTCGTTTTTCGGCCATGTTGGCTAGACCTGTTTCGGAGACTAGAAACATCGCTTATTTACTTCAAATTCCTTTCAGTCATCTTTCCTTTTTTGACATTTCCCCTGTGAGTTTATTCCAGTTTTTTCTCTGCCCGTGTTTCGCCGTTCCCCCCAACCAATTTTCCCTCCTGTTTCCCGCTCTTTTATGGGTCTCCTTGTTGTATAGGCTTTGAAAGCAGTGTGGTAGGCTCTGGAGAAAACAATCACCACTACCAAGCAGCAACAACACCTTGTGACCTGGTACAGATCCTTCTGAAAAATGCCAATGGTAACATATTACCTGGAGAAACTCCCCACATGTCAAATGTGCTGCAGTTTGCCTTAGCAGGAATAGCAACAACCACCACAGCTGCTGGGCACCTTTTGTTCCTCATCCACCTGCTCCGCCACCAGTTCCACCACCACCACCTTCCCTGGGATGTGATATATACCTGGTTATCCAGATATTCCTTAGGCTGTGCATCCCTTTATCCAAATTACCCCTTTTAGAATCATGGAATCATGAAGTTGAAAGGGACCTATAAGACCATCAAGTCCAGCCCACTGCTCAGTGCAGGAATACAAACAAAGGATATCTGCCAGGTGGTTGTCTAAATTTATCTTGGGTGCCTCCAGTGTTGGAGCACTCACAACCTCTCGAGGGAATTGGTTCCATTGCCATGTCCCTTTCTTGCGCCCCTTTCCACAACCAGCTAGTCTAGAAGCAGTTCTTCTCTCTCCCAACCTTGCGCCCTGGTATCCCATTCCTTGAAATCTGAAGGAATAGGATATAGCTGTCCTAGCAATCCTATGTCCACACTGCAGTTTCCCTTGGACCTTGGAAAGAGAAGATTAAATGGCAGACTAGCACCTACATTTCCATGAGTGTGGAAGGGGAAGCAGCATCAGAATGTTAGCTGGGGCATTGTGGGAGTTGTAGTCCAAATTTTTTTCCAGAGTTGTCCAGAATCTAGCAATACTCCAGAATATTCTGCAGTAACTGCCTGAAATGTACTTCGATATTTCATCTAGCTACAACTGTAATTTTGAAAAAAGAAAGAAAGAATTGCTATTAGATTTGCAAATCAATGCATGGAAGTCATATGGAGGTTAATAGTCTATTTTCTTCACTAAAGAGATTTGCTTCAGAACTACTTTGCAGTTATAATCACATGTACGATTGATAGCTGTAAGAAACTGCTATTAGCTACAGTCTACAATGTTGGTGGCAAGTTTATGGATTCTTTTTTAAAAGTTTCCTTCCGTACAAATGTGGGTCTCATGGCATTCCCTTCTCCCTCATTGCACTTAGGGTCTGAAATAGCAGGAGGTACAGGAATCCAACAGAGATGAAGCATGTTACAGCTGATTGACACAATGGGATGTCCTAATTTGGGTCTTTAATTTTACATTTTCAAAGGATCTTCCCTTAAGCATCTTGCCTAAAAGTAGTGCAGAAGGGGAATCCTGTAAATGTCCCCATCACTCCAGCAGGTTTCCCATTACATGACCAATTGGTGTTGCAACCAATGCAAGAACAGGTATGCAAAAGTGAGCCTGCCAGAGTTGCAGTGGGGATCAGGGTGGTGGTGGTGGTGTTACATGGTTTTCCTTCAGCTCCATATATGGGCAACATGATACTAGCCCTAGTTCAAATGTGAAGCTTCTAATTCATTAGTTAACATTTGTTCTTAAAATGTTCCACACCAGCAAATAAGAGCTTAGCATCAGAGACTTAAGTGCACCTCTAAAAAAACACACCATGTGACACAATCTTTACATTTGAATTGCAAAGACATTTACTGTATAGGCTCACCTATTTGACACAAGGAAAGTCACTGGTTGCCAGTTTACACTTCAGGTGAAATTCACCAAGTAGTCTTGCTGGAATCACACGCCACAGCTTGGGAATCACCATACTTGAGTTTTCAAAGGCCATTCAGTGTTCTCACCACATGACCAGTGGTTCTGAAATGATGATCTTCAGTTGGTATAAGAGATCACCACCAGGATTTGTTAACCAACTAGTCTGCAGCTCTAAATGGCTTTGGAGAATAAATATGAGCACATAGAATTGTAGAAGTGGAAAGGTCGTTGAGTCCAATCATCTGACACTGCAGGAAATCCACAGCAAAAGCAGCCCTGATAAATGGACATGCAGCCTCTCTTTAAAAAACATCCAATGAACAGACAGTCTTCCATGTTCTGCAGTAGTCCATTCCATTCTCAAACAGCTATTTATGTCAGGAGGTTCTTCGTCATGTTTAGTTGAAATCTACTTTCTTGTAACGAATCCACTGCATTAGATCCTATCCTCTGGAGACACAGAAAACGTGCTTGCTCTATTTTTTATGTGACAGCCCTTCAAATGTTAAGGGTACATAAAAAAAAGGCCAAAAATTCCAAGCCAACTCAACTTACTCAACCTCAACCAGACCTCCCTTCACCGATTTTGGAAGAATCCTCCAGAGAGGTTCCCGAGTCAGAGGTGGAAGATCCACTCCCGCTACCTCCTGACTAGGCTCCGGTTTCTGTGGTGAGCCTTTCGCCTAGTATTGGCCCTTTAATGGCTGATGTCGTCTCCAGCCTGGCCTTGGCCCATTCTAGCCCTTGCATCTTCAGGGTGGGCAAGGATGGTTCTTCTCCATATCAGTCTCCTCCTTGCAAGCATGTGTCAAAGAGACGTCATCTTTCACCTGACTTTCAAGATCCTTCACATCAAGAGTTCTGCTACTTCCAGGAGCCTCCTCAATATCACCTCCCATCAGACTATCGAGATCTGTATTATGTTGAATATGACCAATACTGGCACCACAGACCTGATACCGACCCACATGCTGCGTCATCCTATTACAATGAGCCAAAGAGGGTTCGGTACACATTCGCTTATCCGCCTGAACCTTCTCCATCACCATCACCATGTCCACCCTGACATCGGCATCGAGCTCATATATCCAAACCTCAACCTTCTCTGATGGTTCCTCTGCATGCCAAATCAGCCCTCAAACACACTTCTTTGCGCTCAACAGGGCAACCTGCCTCCAAACACTCCCGGACATCTTCTATACTGGTTTCTACATCTCTTCAGGTCACTACCACCTATAAGGGTCCTTCCCCCCCCCACACTCCATCTGACACCGACAGAGGGTTGTTGGCTCTTTTGGTTGCTACATCCAGGACATCGGCACCTAGACCTCGACAACAGTCACCCTCTTCCGAATCTGCTGGTTCCAAGACTCACAATCCCCCTTCAGAAATCTCTCAGGAATTTCCCTCCAATTTGCGTACTCTTACAATCCCCCTTCGGAAATCTCTCAGGAGTTTCCCTCCAATTTGCGTACTCTCGATTCTGATGTGGTGGATAATCACCCCCCTTCACCTTCCAAGGACTTTACGTCCTATTCTTAACTGGTACTCCGCATAGCCAAATCCCTCAAGCTTGAGGTCAAACACCACCTCCAAAACAGGATTTGGTATTCCCAAATCCCTCAAGCTTGAGGTCAAACACCCTTCACGTCCAGAACAAGATTTGGTATTTGACAACACCAACCAGGATAAAACCCCACCACTCAGTCTGGCTTTCATACCAGCTATGCTTGATTTAGTAAGGGAGTCTTGGGATAAACCACCGCATTTGGTAAGGGAGTCTTGGGATAAACCACTGCCTTCCCTTCAAATATCCAGACGAGTGGAAAACCACTATAAAACTCATGGTTCGGATATGTCTTTTCTTGTAAAACATCCGATACACAAGTCGATCATTGTGGAATCTAATCAATCCCAAGCTATAAATCATTGGTAGCCCCAACAAATAGAGAGGGCAGAAAGTTAGACATTCTGGTTCAGTGTCCCTACTCTTCTTTTTTAAATAATTGTTTTTATTTTTTTAACAAGAGGGGTGACAAAAGAGAAAAGGGGAATTGAGGTTAGTGGGGAAAAGGAGAAACAATCACATTCTAACATCTAATCTATACCTATTGCCATATCAAGATTCCACGTTACTCTATTTACTCTTTTCTGCCTTCTAGGTTTAAGTTCTCATTCCAATATATGCTATTCGTACATTGCCTGTTGATTCAATCCACTTGTAGAATAAG